GATTCCTGTGGAAGCGTAGCTAATATATCCTTAGTATGGTCATTGGCATTATCATGCACCATAACCCAAAATAGCTGCTGTTTAGTTTCTTCAGGCAAATCACTATCCTGAATTGCTACCCACATTCGACCCACATAATCAGTAAATGGTTCTGTAACCCCCTGGCACACAGTGGCAAAAGTCAGTTCCTTTTTCCCAGCAGGAATGGCAAAAAATTGCCTCCAATGCCAGTCTAGCCAACAAGTGGTGAAAAGCTGCTGCAAAAGAAACCTGTGTGTCAGAGGAGGCATAAGGACCTATCCCTGTCAGCATTTCTGCTGTAATGCCATACAGTGAATCAGCAGGCTGCCAAGCTATTCCAGCCTCACAGTGTGCTCTGTCAGACCACTCTTGGAGAAACAACAAATTTTCTGATGGTGTTAATAGCAACCTACCCAAATTTTTTATGTCATTTGGCACATTCACATCAGCAGTAAAAATCCATTGAATAATTTGTTTAGATACCTCGGCTTTAAGGCCGTACTCCGTAACCATTTTCCACACTTGTTGTAACAGTTTCCAAGCACGGGATTCCTGTTGCGCACCCTGCTGATCATACACCACTGGGCACACGATTCGAGAAGCCGTTTCCCATTGCCCCTCCAGTAAAGCATCACAGATTACCCCTGACCACCGTGAGGGAGAAGCTGCCAGGTGAGTCAGTGGAGCAACAAGCGCTGTCAGTAGGACGGGACCTGTAGAAGGCACTGGTTGAGAACCTCGGTCAGGCCCATACAGATTTCCAGGCTACGTAATCGCTCTGTTAATATTTTAACCTTGCAATCCAGTTTTTCCAGCCCCTCACCCCCATTGTCACTCTCTGATTCTTCAGGAGACTGCTCCTTGCAGTGCCCATCAGGCGTGAAGTCATGTATAGCCCCTTTTCCTTGCTGCAGTACTGCAGATGACTCAGTAGCAGTGCAGTAGCAGCGTCATTTGAGAGATCAGGGGCTGCTGCCTCTACCAATGCTTTTATCTGACCTGCCGAGGAACACACAGGGTGTGTGATACCCCGAACAGGCACGTCAAACTCCAAAGCCAAATTAGTTGTTGTACTGGCCAGTGCCTGTATAGCTGCAGCAGCTACCTGTCACTCGGCTTGCACAGCTTTTAAAGTATTAATAATAGACCTCCACAAGGGGCCAAGGGTCCGCAACAACTTTTCTTCCTTTCCACCACTGATGACTGAGTCCCACATGCGGTCCCCGATATCCCGCCATTCGTCAATGCTGAATATCAGTGCAACAAATGTCCCTTCTTCTGAGCCCAGTGTACCAGCTCAGTCATGCCTTTAGGAGATGACTGCTCCCTTCTCTTAGAGAGAAAACTTAAAAGCAATTTCTCCGCAGCTTCCCATTCCATCGTGGATACAGAGGGCAGGTCACAACCCCACTTCCAGCTATCACAACACTTACGTCGGTGCCAGCTTCCAGCTACGGCAACGCTTGTGTCGGTGCCAACTCTCTGTGGCAAGTGTCCTGCCGTTGTCCACTTCCCTGAATCGTCCCACGCCGTCCCTGTTTGGGCACCAAATGCGGGGAAGTCTCTGTACTCTCAGGACTTGCTGGAGACAACAGCACACCAACATGGTTAAAAGCTGTTGGTCTACTTTATTGTTAAGCACTGTTCTATTTATGCATGTTAACAAAGCATTCTACAAAACACTCTTCAACCGTTCACACAGGTGCTTATCCAATCAGAACCACGAGATGTTCTTTCTTCTTCTAAAGGTGTCCTTGGTTCTCATGCTGCTTATCTTGCTCCACAGCTGCTGCTCCGAACAGCAGTTCAGTTTTTCTTGTATTCCCACACTGCAGTTTCAACTACAGCCTCCACTCAGGGCAGGATTTTGTGAAGGTACCCATCCTCAGCACAGAAACTAGAAAGCGTAGCATCAGATGTGCTGTTTTACTGTGTGATCTTACCAGATCAGCTCCAAAGATTATGAGTCACGCTTTCCACTTACTTTAATGAGAGTTTGTTTCTCTGTATTACGTCACACTTCTCCCTACTGCTACTCATCACGGAATTCCAGTTGATTGACTAAAATTCCATGGCTATCCATACTGAAAGCACACTGTTGTGTGATTTCACTTTATGCAACAGATAGTATGTTCTTGAATGTTACATCTGGATACTTTTCAAGGTTTAGGATTTCACTGAAAATTGTTTCTCGCATCTGATGCAAGGCCACCAGTGTTGAGGTCAAACTGCAAGAACACTGAGGAGGTGGGTGTCAGCCCACTGGGAATGGTAGTTGTTTTGCTCATGATCCTGCTGCCCAGCTGCTTACCTCCACCGCATCAAGCCCGCTATCAGTTCAGTTGCAGAGGAATTCAGTTGCAGAGGAACAAGAGGAAGGCAAGTTGGTGTGTGCAGTCACACCCGCTGTCCTTCAATAACAGCAGCCAGATACTTTCCTCGCTCTGTAGGTGTGAGGAAGGTTTGCAGACACACAGCTTTCTGATTCCTTTATAGCATGATACCCAGTTCAGGGACTGGGATTTAAAGCAGCTCCATCTGAAACTCACTGCCTGCTTTCTGCCTGTACAGAGCTTTATTCTACAAACACTGTAATACCTCAGAGGCTTGTGCTAAAAACACATTTTCCCAGAATGAAACCCTGACAGGAAATTCAAGATTCACGTGAAGACTTGAAAGCAAGTTGCTTTTATTGCATCCATTAGTCCGTGGGTTTTATTACTGCTATAAAAAGAAGGGTGTACTAGATATCTGGCTTGTCTTCTGCTGGAATTTGTGTTAGGAACTGTATCATAGTCTTGCATTATGGAACAACTCCAGGAGCTGATTTGGCTGGCTTCATGCTGTTTCCTGTTTACTTTGGATAGGAAAAATAACTGTACTTTAGCTTACGTCTTGTTAAGTCTGTGAGGCTATGGTGCCCCCTAATGTTTTGAAGATTACAGACCGGTAATTTTGTTGCTGAACTCTCAAAGCTCTCTGCTGGAAGAACACTGTAAATGACATTTTCTCCAATATATTGGAGAACGTGGAACATAGTTTGAACATCCCTTTTCGTTATTTTATATGCACAAGCATTAAAATAATTCCTTCTAAAGTCTTATTTTCATTGTCAAACATAGAAGAATAATTGATTTGTCTAAGAAGTCAGTTTCTTAATTATTTCCTGACACCAAACAGGTGGACATGGTTTAAAAACTGTTAAGCCATTAGCACTTTCTTTTCGCTTATGGAAGAGCTGGTGAATGCTCAGCATGTTTAAATGTCTGCATGTTTAGGTTCTCTAATTAGCATAAGTGACCATAATGTTAAATATGTTTTCAAGGTACTGGGTTATATTATTATTATTATTATTATTACTATTATTATTGTTGTTTCTGATGCTGTTAGAATCTAAGCACTACTGGAATAAGGTACAACTACAGTATCAAAGAAGTTGTAGTACTTATTCAGATTTAAACAGCACTCCCCTTCCTCTTTCCCCCGCAAAAGCTTCATGCCTCCTGAGCGTAGGGTTGTTGACACATCAGTATAGAACCTCATAATCTTTATTAAGGCATAACAGCTGGTTGGTTTCCTTTGCCTTGAACATATATCACTGCTAGCATACCTAAATGAACTAGTTAGTTACAATAGTAATTAAAGTCATTATTAGTATACTACATGCAATTAATAAAAGTTAATAAAATGAAAAGTGTGAGGTTTTCACCAGCAGTAGTTTGAATAAATGTTCAGTCTGGAATGAGGAAAAAAGGTATAAATTGTGTTTTTCTCATTTTTTTTCATGTTCATATGTTGTTTTTTTTCTTTTTTCGAGTCAAAGTAGAACACAAATGCAGCTCTCTGCTACCAGAAACATTGCAGATGGACTGAAATCAGAGAAGCCAACAAATCTGTGATAGAAGGAATGAACCTTATCCTGGGAAAATAACTTATTGATTGTCGTGTTTCCTCTGAGAGAAGGATTATAATTGGCAAACAGAAACCAGGGTTCAGGAGTTTGAATGCATGTAAGTAAAAGAGAAGCAGCATACAGAGAAGAGAAGAGGGAATTCTATACCATGGACTGCGAAAACATTTGCAGTTGTTTTCTCAAAGCATTGCACAACCACTACACCGTGCACCTGTGTTTTTCTTGTTCAAACAGCGAATGCACACTTCTAACAGGCATGTTAAGAATGTGGGAACTGGGTGCTCTCTGCTGGTACAACAGGAGAAGTAATCTTAAGCATAAAGCCAAACAGAAAAGTGCTTGTTCACTAAGATGTAACACAAGAACTGTCACCCTATGCCTGTAAATTCGTTTGGAGTGTCTAACATGGCAAAGCTCAGCGTGAACTACATATGCAGAACATGCAGATAGGTCCATCCATGAGGTGTAAGCAGCCAACTGTTCCAGACCTGAAAGCAACACAGGCAGAACCACAGCAATGTAAGAGGAAGCACTTGACATGTGGGCTGTTTCTGGGAGGGGTCAGTGCAGTAGACTGGCAGTGCAGAGGAGTGACTGAAGGTACTGTGGCTGTTTAGTCTGGGGAAAAGGAGGGTGAAGGGAGACCTTATCGTTCTCTTCAAATATCTGAAAGGTGCTTACAGCGAGAGTGGGGTTGATCTATTCACAGTGGTGACAGAATGCAGGAAAATGGCCTCAAGTTGCACCAGGGTAAATTTAAGTTGGATATCAGGAAACACTTCTTTACAGAAAGGCTTATTAAGGCTCCCCAGGGAGGTGGTTGGTTCCCCATCCCTGGATGTGCTTAAAAACTGTTTGGATGTGGTGCTCAGGGACGTGATTTAGCTGAGGGTTGTTAGAGTTAAGGTAGTATGGTTAGGTTCTGGGTGGACTCAATGATCTTTAAGGTCTTTTCCAACCTGAGCAATTCTATGATTCTCCAAAGCGTGAATACTCTTTGCTAGACAATACTGTGCACTTCAATTTTTTCCATGTAAAATTCCCAATGGAATACACTGAACACTGATAAGAGCAAAAAGCTTTATTCTCTGTTTCCATATTCCTTTTTTTATGTACCATCTCTTAATGTCATGTTTACAGCATGTTCACTTTTAAAACCTGGGTGATGCTTGCTGAACGATTATGGAGACCAAAGGCTGGGTGTGAGCGCAGTGAGGCAGTGACAGCAGTGACACAGGGCCATCTCTGCTGGTGCAGTTGTTTACGAGCACAGCATGCAGAATCTTGTTCATTGCTTGCAAAACTGCGGTGACTATGTTGAAAAAGTGTTTTGTAGCTGCGAATTTGGTCTATCGAACAGTATTATTATGCTCTTCGTAGCTGTTGCAATCTCTGTGGAAATAAACGGGAGGCATTACTTTCGGAGCAGCCCACGGACGCCCCTCACACCGCCCGCGCCCCTCCCCGCCTGCAGGCGCCAGCCGGGACCCCGCTGCCTGCGCCGCGGTTTCACTTTCTGTTCGGCAGCCTCTGGCTCCCCCTGGCGGTCGGCTGCTGCCAGACCGGCGCCCGGAGCGCCGCGTTCTATGGCGCTGCTCCGAGCAGCTGGGGAAAATAAGAGACGAGGCGTCCGTAGAACCGCAGGACCACGAGACGGCTTGGGGAGGAGGGCACTTCACACCCCCTCAGTCTCACGGCTGCCGCGGACTTGCCGTCATTACCCGCCTCGGGCCCCATTCGGGCCGCCCCGCTCGCCGCCCCAACTCCCTAGCGCCCGGCGGACCCGGCATGGCGGCGCAGGCAGCGCGCACCCGGAAGCGGAAGCGGCCGCGGAGCACTGCGGGCCGGCGGCCGAGGCGGAGCTGGGTCTGAATGAAGGCGCCGCGGGCCCGGGGCCGCGGGCGCCTCTGAGCGCCGAGGGGCCGCTCCCGCTTGCCCCTTCCTCCCTCCCTCCCTCCCCGTCCGCCCTCGCCCTCGCCCCGGGCCCGGCCATGTCTTACAACAAGATCCCGCCGCGCTGGCTCCACTGCCCCAGGAGGGGACAGCCCGTGGCAGGTGAGCGCCCGGCCCGGCCCCGGCGCGGCTTCGTGGCGGCGGCGGCCCCCGCCGTGCCCGGTCCCTTCCGTTCCCCCCCCGGCTCACCCGCCCTCCGTTCTCCGGCTCCGCCGGGTGCTTTGTCCCGGGACCGCGGCAGCGCGTGGGCCGCGCGGAGTCCCGGGCGGAGACCCGGCGTCGGCGGAGAAGGGAGCAGCGGGGCCCGGTGACGCCCGCTCCCTGCCGGTCTTCCCGGAGCACTCTGCGCTGCGCTTCCTCTCCTCGACGAAGTTCGGGGCTGGAACTTCTGCCTCGCGTCACGGCTGGAGGGAATGGGGCGGCTCGGGGCGCCGACGGCCCGTCCCGGGTCCGGCGGGGCCCGCGTGCCTCCCGTCTCCTCCCGGGCAGCGCTCCCGAGCTGGGCGCCGCGCACGGCCGCAGCTCCGCGTGCGACCCGAGGCGCTGCCGGCAGTGCCGGTCCGATTTCTGCGCACCCGTGGGGCGCGGGGTGGGTGTCACGGAAACGCTTTCGGGTTGGGAACTCACTGCCACAGTGCTTTGAGATGAATGCCCCCCTAGCATGAAATACAGCAAACAAGCTGTTTGCTCACGCTTGCTACCTTTATCAGGTAAGCAACCAGAAAACCCTTATTTTTTTTTCCACTATACCTTCCAGTTTTCACTCATCTATCTCCCTGTCTGTGATAATTTCGAGGTACTTGTCTGCATCATGATGTTCGCTGCTCTGTGTGAGCCGGGCAGTAGTTAGGTGCCTGCCTTCTCTGTGCCACATTTCTTCCTCATCTCCTTACACTTCTGTGCCTGCCATTGTTTGTGGGGCTGCAGACGTGGATGGTTTCTTACAAACTTATTTAGAGCTTCCTCAGACATCTCAGGAGCCTCAGTTTTCCCATCAGTGTGCGTTTCAGTGCATTGTATCAGCTACTCATCATGTGGGTTACTGTTTTCCCTCAAAGTTCTTTGTACTTCCATGAGCTTAACTTAATTAAGCAGTATTATCATATTGCTTATCTCCCTTATCTCTTTTCTGATCCGTGCCAAATATTTTGCTTTGTATCTATTAGAAATTTGATAGCGTAAGTTGTCAGCCTTTGGCCACAACAAAAATAGCCCCATGAATTTTTATTCTTTGTTTTTTTTTCTCAGCAAGTTCTTAATCTCTGGAAATTGTTGATTTTTTTTTTTTTTTTTAAGCCAGGGCTGCTAAAAAAAATGAACAGAGTAAGCACGAATGTAGTTCATCAACTTGTCATCTGCTGAGCACTGAATGCATGGTCTGTGCTTGTTCAGGAACTGCAAGGTGGCTGTTTTGCTCTGTGTGCTCAGACACAAGAAGATAGTGCATAAAGAAAAGAAGAAAGTGCTTGGTTCGTTTCTTTGGCTGCATTATCACAATGCTTTATTGTGTCAGTTCACTGAATTTTTAGGGATTTTGTAGATGTGTACAATTACCAGAAATCATGATGAACCATCAGTCTTACCTTTTTATTTGTTTTTCTGCATTCAAACCATCTAACTATTTTAGTGAGATGTAATGTTTAGACTTCCCTGCTGTTGCTGCTGTCTCCCAGATGCTTTATATTCCATTTTGGATCAGCTTTTCAAACAAATTTGTGTGCTTCTGTGCGTGGCTTCATTCCCTTCTAATAGTGTGTCAGTAATACTGTCACTCAGCAAGGTTTGCGTGGCTTCTGTGAGCCAACAGGCATCACGTGTTTGGTTGTGTCCCTCTTATGCTAGTAGCATTTCTAAGTGACCTCAAATACAAGAACCAGGGAAGTCTGGAGCTCCTTGTGAGGTTGAGTTCATTCAGGCTAACAGGACTGTCATTCTTTAAGTTGTAGTGTGCTGCCACTGGTTTTATGCAGTGTTTTCGTGTTATCTTGCATTGTGGTAGCAGCTCAGTGACACGTTTAACAAAAAGAGCTTTCTCTGAACGCTTGGAACTGAAGTTACCAGATTGCTTCAGCCTTGCTGCCTTGGCATTTCTGTCTCTGCAAGTACCTACCCTTTATAACTCCCTGAAATCACATCTATTTGTTTTTGCTATGGAGAATCTTAGCAAGATACTGAGGAAAAGACATGAGAAGTGTTTCGGCAAAGTCCTTCAGTCTGCTGTTGGTTCATATTAGTTAATCTTCTTCTAGTCTTGCACATTGCATGCAGAGTTGTCAGATATTATTAAAAACATCTGTTTAAAAAAAAACAAAAAACAAAAAAACACAAACAACCCTAAACTTCTAAAGCCATTGCTTTCATATCCTGATTGGAAAATTTCCCCGACTTGCAATGCACTTACTTGAATTCCCTGCTGTCTTCTAATGCTGGCAGACAACTTGATTGCTGCCATGCAAGTTCTGTTTCTGCACGGTGATGGCAAACTTCAGTTTGTAGAAGTTGGGTACCTAAATGGTTCCAAGGATCAGGGTTTCAGTATGTTCCCAACTAGTATTAAATGGAGCCTGTTAAAATACTGAACATTTCCACAGAGTGAATGTGTGTGTTTGGATGGCAGCGAGGAGTAGTGAAGTGAATTAGAACAGTTCCAAGCATGCTTGATGTTTTGTTGGATTCACAGCAAAGATTTCTGCATTAAGATCATCCACAGTCAGGATTTGGAGAGTCAGTCTGAACAGTATAAGCTATGAATTAATGTGCAAGGAAGGGTTAACAGTGTGAGAAGCTGAATAGGAATGCTGAAAGTGACAGGAGACACAACAAACTGACAGAATTAAGGCAGGTAGGTCAAACCATGAGGAAATGAAGGAGGGCAGCCAACCCTCACACTGTGGCTAAGAGGAATGGAATGGAAAGGCAGAAGGAAGTAGGTTAATGTGAAGGGTGTTTCTGGCAGCCAAGTGAGTTGAAGTGGCTAGGGACTTAATGCCATGTGAAGTGTATTATGCTCACTGTGTGACTGAATGACTTTTCTCAGACAAGTTAACAGTAGGATACTCCTCATGTTGCCAGTTCTTGCACAATTCTGACCAGCAAATCACACAAAGCTTCTCTCAGTTTCCTCTCCATCTTTGCTTTTTTTCAGTGGCTCTTTCCTAAAAGTTAAATGCTTATTTGAAACTACGCAGGATATTTTGTTACAGTTTGAGGCTACAGAGAATGGTAGGAATGCTCTCAGCAATCACTTGCATGGTCTTTTAGTGAGATTGGTATGCATTTTTACATTTTTATGAAGATTAAAATGAACTTCTGTCCCAGAAGCTGATTTCCATCTGAATGCAATGACTCTATCACTGTTTTCATTCCACATACTTTTGTTTGGGGAAGGGGTCTGTCTGCAGCTCTCTGGAGCTGGGCAGGAAGCACAAGGCATCCCACTGGGTTATTTCAGGTGTTCTGTGATAGGTAGGATGGATGGAAAGATAAAAGCAATACTGAAAAATCTTGGGTTCTTAGTGACTGATGGACTAAGAGCTAATTCCCCTCAAGTTTTTGTCACAGTTCTGTCACAAACATGTCTGAGCTGCACATAGACCTTGTGCTTTGGAGGGATGACTGCATTCCTCCTCAGGGCCCCAACAGCTCCTCTGGGCTAGGCATGTTGGGTGGCAAATTGACCTTTCAGATTGGCTTTTTGTGTTTTCTACTGTACTGAATGTAAATGTTGTGTGCTGTAGCTCTGCAGCCTGGCCCACGCTAAAAAGTAACTGAAACATGGAGAGTACTGCTTCTTGATGATCTGGGCTGTTTCCCTCTTGACTTACATGTGGGGCATTCTGCAAACTCAGAGCTAAGAAGAGTTTCCAGTTACTTGTTGTTGATACTTTACCTGCAGTTACTTTTCTTTGTAGAAGAACCTATAAAACTGCTTGGTGTATTGCTTTGAAATCACTAAGTTGCGAGTGCGCGTATACATCAGTATGCATACAATACTGCCAAATTTGTGTTTCATAGGGAAGTTTTTACCTTTGAAGACAATGTTAGGACCAAGATACGATGATCAGGTTGCTGAAGAAAATCGTTTTCACCCAAGCATGTTGTCCAACTATTTGAAGAGTCTCAAGGTAAAGTTAAATTTTCTAATTATTGAAATGTTACTTTTGTTACTAACACTTATTCAAATACTGCTTTTCAGATTTAAGAAAAATGTTGTTGATGGCTTTTTTTGGGGACACTGGTACAGAAAAATTTAATATATATGTGTAGCAGAAATGCTAAATCACAGCTTAAATCAGTGATTGAGCACCTGGTGGGAAGGCAGGGCCAACCCAAGGGAGCTCAGGTGCAAGCAATGCCCCTGAGTGATCAGGAGGGGTGGAGGCAGGATCTGCCCCTTCCCAGACCTCACTGAAGGGTTGGCAGGGGAGGCAAGGGTATCTCGTTGGAGAGCCCTGCCTACCTGAGGCCTTCCAAGGGTAAGCAGCTTTTTTTCCTTTGTTTCTGTGTCTGTGGCTGCTGCACTGAGCATATCCTCGTTTGCTGCAGCTTTTGGCTTTTGCTGCTATTGCTGTGCTTTCAATTGCGTTATAGTGTTTTGCTATGTATGTATTTTATTTACATTTTCATTTTTTTTCTGTGATTCCTTTGTTTCTAAAATACTTGATTATTGGCAAGACTTGTTCAGAATTCTCCAGCTTATTCACTGTGTTATCATCAAGAACCTCACATTTTTGTTAGTATTGTCACAACCTACTAAGTTGCTGTTATCAAAGTTCAGGTCCTTTGAGTTTGTAGTTTTACAGCTGATCCTTATACAGCTATGCTAAGCTGCATTTTCACTTATAG